TAAGCTTTATAATGTGGTATAACGTGCTAATGTGGACTATCAGCCCATATCGGCAAAATTTAGGCCGATAAATGATATGTCTCCAAGTGCTCATATCAGCCAATAATATCAGCCAACCAATATATTAGTCGGACCCTAGTTAATTGTAACTGATTTAGACTGGGAAAACTGGATACCATAGACTATATAAAAGAACTGGCTAAGAGTGTGACATCACCCATAGCATTCAGCGCTGCTCAGGCTTGCAATGCTCATGGTTACAGGAGTGAATGTGGAGCCAGGCTCTATATTATGAATAGGACTTTTTGAAGGACAAAATGGCGAAAAAAAAAAGAAAAAATCAGGATCATGTAGAGCAGGTTAATACAAACATTTTAAGACTAAAATAATGAGCCTCACAGCAGCAGTTAGACAGAGGGACGACAAGATCCCAGTGTAAGTCAGTTGGAGCCAAGGTCATACATATACAGTCTACGCTAGCTCCACAAAAATGCACAATATTTGAGATCACAATGGGTCCATCATATCAGTGTTTCATTTGTGACTAATGGGGAGTTTGTGTCTGTTTACTTCAGAAATTGTGGATGGAAATACCAAGATGACACTCGGAATGATCTGGACCATCATTCTCCGTTTTGCCATCCAGGACATCTCTGTGGAAGGTATACATACTCTCCATCATTGGACACCCTGTAAGTAGAGTTCCTTCTTTACAGTCTTTTGTGTTTGCAGAGACCTCAGCGAAAGAGGGGCTGCTTCTGTGGTGTCAGAGGAAGACCGCGCCCTACAAGAACGTCAATGTCCAGAACTTCCACATCAGGTTAGGGATTAGAGGTTATGGTCAACTAATTTCCTGCTGATCAATTAGTTCACCAAAAACTCTACCTTTATCTGTGGCAACTGTTCTGATACTTAAGAGGCATGTGAGAAACATGGTGCCACGGTGTAGACATCTGAATTTCATCAACATAAAGCAACTGATTCAGACACATTTTTATTCAAACTAATGTTTCTTTTGTGACAGCTGGAAAGATGGCCTGGCATTCAATGCCCTGATCCACCGGCACCGACCTGAGCTCATTGACTATGACAAACTGCGAAAGGTAATTTTTCATATTTAGTGTATTTGACCAGAGATCCAATACAAAATGCTACCTCTAAAACACTTTTGCAGGATGACCCTTTAACTAACCTCAACAACGCCTTTGATGTGGCAGAGAAGTACCTGGACATCCCAAAGATGTTGGATGCAGAGGGTGAGCTGATGATTATTCCAAATCAACTATGTAGCAATGTTTCTATCAAAACTTTGAACCAACTTAATTTTCAGTCACATGAGGCCAATTCTTCTGAGGGTTCAAAATGTTCTTTGTGCTGATCTCAAGGCAGGAGAAAGTGCATGTGCGTGTGCGTGTGTGCACAGGTATTGATCACATTGTGTTAATTTATCACAAAGTTAAAGGTCATATAGTACTCAAAATTGACTCTTGTGAGCTTTAAGCCATGTTAGAATGTTGTTACCTCCTAAAAAACATCTGGAGTTGTTTCATTCACACATGTTTGAGTAGTCTTTTATTATTAGCCTGTCTGCATCTCCCAAGCTCCAATTGCTCTGTTGTGATGTCATGAATCTGTAGTTTTCAAGTTAACGGCTACCTTTTACCTTTAGTTTAGTAGAGACCAGAAATTCCAGGGCTGGAATGATCCAGATGATTCTAGTGAAGGTGCATGGTTTTAAAAACACAGTGGAGCACTGCTTATATTACCACATGACATCACCAGATGGAACAAACAGTTTTTTTGTGTTAATCATATATGAATGAAACAAAACAGAATTCCAGATATGTTTGTGATGAGGAAACTCCATTATAACATAGATCAGAAAAGGGCATAATATGGGGTCTTGCTTGTGTGTGTGGGTTTGTTGTTTGTGTCTTCTGTGCACGAGCAGTCCAGGCTGAGTCCTGTGTGAGTTCTCATAACCTTGCCTCCACATGTTGTAGACATTGTCAACACGGCCCGTCCCGATGAGAAAGCCATCATGACTTATGTGTCCAGTTTCTACCATGCCTTCTCTGGAGCGCAGAAGGTACCGCAGGCGCCCCCTACTGCGCTGCTGCTGACAACTCTGTCTCTGTCCAGCATGGCTTCCTTTTCAGTGCTGCTTTTACCTCAGTAACAACATTGCAGATGAGTGGCCACAAACACACAATATTCTGGTCTTCAAAATATGGTTTAATTTGTCTGATGGCTTAATATATTCAAAGAATCAGATGTAATAGGAATCATTTAAGGAGTACTTTTACGTAATAAGTTCACAAAAAGTCTGCTCCACAGAAGGAAGGAAATAAGACAAGAAAAACAATAGATAAATACATGAATGATACTGGGAGATGTCTTGTGTGTTTTTGGCCTATTGCCTGCTATGTACCGGTGTGTGACTCGGGGCCCCTCCCTGCCCTGGTGCATCTGTGTGGGGGCCGCTTTGGTAACCTGACCTCTCTTTTCTGTTTCCTCTGCTGCAACTGTAGACATCGTGGGTACGCTGCGGCCCGATGAAAAAGCCATTATGACCTATGTGTCGTGCTTCTATCATGCATTCTCTGGTGCTCAGAAGGTGAGCCAGGCACGCTTTCCACTTTTGATTTATGATTGACACATTTTGTTTTGGACTTAGTTAAACTTCCAAGCTTCGAAGATGGAGAAAGTCCAAACTGGGATTTAGATTAACCTCTCAAAAACTAAAGACAAATCATCTTTTTTATGCTAAATACGTAAAGTCATAAGTATGTATGTATTTTAGCTGTTAAGATGTAACACTACAGGGGAGCAGGTGGACAAGTCTTCAAATAAATTTGAAGCTTTGTTTTTTATTTATATTCATGACAGTAACTAACTATTAATGAAAGTTTTTCATTTTAAAAAAATCATTAACTAATAGTCTAGGTTTGTAATTATTTGCAAAATTTGTTGCACAGGATTTTTTAATATTTTTGAGTAAACAAATTTTCACTGATAAAATATGGACAAAACTTTTTTTAGTTAATTGGACCCTACTTAATTTGTCTAAAAGAATCACTAAAACAAACCCAGTAAAATATATTGTTGTCCAAAAATCTTTTATGAAGTTCCATTGGAACTGAAAGTAGGCTAAACCTTTTATTTGCTGTTTCAGATGACATCACAACATTCTATAGGCCAGTTATATTGAAAACAGACAGGGGCAGCTCTTTATAGGGAGTTCTGGGATAAATGACAGCCCTGCCTGTTGAGAGAATTGACATTGCATTCTAGAAAATTAAAACCACCAATAGGGTGCGCTCACATTCTAGAATTTGATGTCATAATTTTATGTGGGACTGTATCTATAATAGATTTACTGTTTTGGAATAAAATATCCAAACTTTTGATTCTTAAATGTTGAACCTTCTTGCCATTTGCCAGGGACTGGCTCCACAAACTTTTTTTGAATAATGACACCACTTTCTAAAGCTATTATAAGACATTTTTTAACAACTGGACAAAGTTTTTGATTGAAGACATTTCACAGCTCATCCAAGCTGCTTCTTCAGTTCTCGTTAGATTGCTGGTCGACACAGCTTTATATCTGCCTGAAGGGAGGAGCTAACTACACTGAAACTACTGACGCTAACACATTTGCTTGTTTACAGGTTGTTTATTAACTAGGTCTATTGAACTGCACTAAGTCTGAACTGTGCCTGAGTCATATTATCAAAATAATTCAGGCCCCAGATGGGTGCTTTCATATCTCTGAGCATCACTATTGTTTTCTTTCTTTTGATTTAGGTCTGAGGATGGCGTTGTAAATAGGAGACAAATGCTGTCTAAGCCCTCCATTTCTGTTCAAAGATGGATTGTCTTTTCCCAGTCGATTTCAAACCTACAAACATGTTTAAGACAGATACTGGTCCACCTAAAGGACAAAACCCTGAGCCACAAACAAAGCAGTGTAGTCTACTACATTCAGTGTAGTAAAGACTGCAGTGAGTGTTGGGATGGGACCCCAGTCAGCCATACATCGCCATCTCAAAGCCACTAACCATTCCTCAGTGGTTTGAGAGAAGAGTTAAAGAGGGTATTTTTGTTAGGAAAGACAAACCGTCTTTGAACAGAAATTGGCGACCCCATCCTCGGACTTAAATCGAAACGATGAAAACAATAGTGATAGCCTGTATGCTCAGAGGTGTGAAAGCCCCCATCTGGGGCCTGAGTGATTATGCTAATATGATTTAGGCACATGTAATGTAGCTCAGTAGACCTAGCTAACAGAAACCGCAAGCAAGTAGGTGGGTTAGTTTCAGAATTGTTGCAATTTAGTTAGCTCCTCCCTTCAGGCAGTGTCCTCCAGCAATCTGACCAGAACTGAATAAGCATCTTGGATGAGCAAAAACATTGTCCCAGTTGACAGCATTCATTTTTCTCTACCTGGACGACTGCAGATTTGTTGACTTGTTTGACCCTAAATTTTCAATTTTTTTTCAAATTTTTTTCAGATTTATTGACCCTCAATCAGTTAAAAGTCAAATTTCACCATAGAATTCTGACCAGTCCTCCAGCTCAGTTTCAACTATGGGCATTCTAGAATCCTATGATTTCCCATGAACCTAACCAATTCCATTATTCTTTCTTTTTGAATAGTTTGAAGTTTGACATGGTCTTAAACAATGGCAATGCTGAAATCTAACCTCTCTTTTTGTTTTGGTGTAAATCTCTGGGTTTGGAGATTTAAACCAGGACTTACTCTGGGTAATATTATTGTTGTCAAGTCTGAATGTGAGTGGTCACCTTTGAAACTGTATTTTTGAACTGAAAACAACCTTTCTGATTCTAGTGGCAGTTTAGTGTCAAATCCAGGAGTTGAGATGTGGACAACTTCACAGCGGCAAAGTGTAACTAGAGACTGAGTTGGTGCATGCACATTAGAGTGTGACCCACACACTAACCCTGACAGCATGAGCTCCGCACATAAGCAAAAGTTTGCAGCTTTTACAGTATTTCTGACAACACAAAACAATGTGCTGATGACGCTCAATTCACTGCATGTGTGCCACGTGAAATTTTAGTAAAAAGTTCATGCTTATATTGTGTGATCATAAATAAAGTTACAAGATTAAGAACTGGTTAATACAAAGGTGGCTTTCTCACAGCAGCACACTGGAAAAGGGAGCTCTTAAATAAACGTGTTTCTGATAGGCTGAGACCGCTGCCAATCGTATTTGCAAAGTGCTGGCTGTCAATCAAGACAATGAGAGACTGATGGAGGACTATGAGAAGCTTGCCAGTCAAGTGAGTAAAAGTATCTTTTAATTATCCTATTGTGGAACAAATTCAAAGTTTATCTTCTCTCTCAACCTAAAAATCTGTATCCCAAAGACAGCTCATAAGTAACTAAGATATGGTCTGTTAATGCACAGCTTCTGGAATGGATCCGTCGCACCATTCCCTGGCTGGAGAACCGCACCCCAGAGAAAACCATGACTGAGATGCAGCAGAAACTGGAGGACTTCAGGGACTATCGCCGCGTGCACAAACCACCCAAGGTCTGCTGCTGTTTGTGTAACAAACATGTGACAGTAGGGTGAGGAGTTGGGAGACTCAAGTCAGTGTTATTTGACTTAGGACTGACCCTTAGTGACTTAAGACTTGACTGTGACTTAAAATGATTTGGCTATTCTGAAAAATGAAACCGTGATCCTTGTACCCATTTTTTTCACAAATAGTGCTGTAATACGTATAGTGGGCAGGAAGGGGTGCATGCATTGTTTAGGATGGATTTAAAACTATTATAGCAAGTGTGAGTGAAGGAATGCCTTATGTTTGGAACTTTATTGAATTTTTAAGGGCAACATTGCATTATGTTGGCATGAAGTCCCTCCAGAAAGACAAGATTAACACCTACTCTCTTTACAGATAACAGACCTTTTTTTTTTTTTTTTAAGTGAATCGACTTCATATTTTAGAGATGTCAAAATTTCCAACTGCAGACTGGCTGGACTGTAAACGGTGACTACACTTGACTCTCATGAGCAGGTGACTTGAGACTTGTGACACAGTATTACCAGAGAGTAGTACTTTGTAATTAGGGTTGTCACAAGTATCAAAAGAGAGATCAGGTCCTAATCAATATTAAAACTAGATACAGGACAGAAATGAACCTTTCCTGAATATCTTTAGAATGATCTTGAGCTATATCAGAACGAGTATAAAAGCATGTAGACTAGTATACACCCATGGACCACTATGGAACCTATTGGGATGACTGAGGGATTACAGATGTAACAGGGTAATCTAAAAGAAGTACTATTATTTAATGTTTAAGTACTAATGTACTAATGTACTGTGTACTAATGTTTAATTTAATGTCACATTCTACTGTCTAAAGAAAGACATTGTGGCATTGTTATTTTCATTGTGCCATCCTTCAGAACTGGTATTGAGTATAGATTCTATTCCTTAGTATCAAACTCGTGTTTAAAATTTGCAACCGTACTTTCAGTGCAATAGTAGTGGTGGCTGTGACAGCCATTTGTGTGACTTGTAACAGTAACAGACATGTAAATGCTCTGTTTGTCCTCAGGTTCAGGAAAAGTGCCAACTGGAGATCAGCTTCAACACACTGCAGACTAAACTGCGACTGAGCAACAGACCAGCCTTCATGCCCTCTGAGGGGCGAATGGTGTCTGTATGTATCACTGGCTACATTTACACACATACGCTTTTGAATGCCAATTTATTGAACTGGCATGTAAATCGCAAAATAATTGCCTGATTTCTTTGTGGACGTTGCATCTGTGCATGTGTTGAAAAACATCAAGAAGGCCAATTTGTAACTTAGACGAATGTTAAAGTCACAGTACATAGCTTGACTAAAATTAACATCTTTTTTCATTATGGATGTTTTTATTGTACTGAAAAACAAAGAAAAACATGCGTCCTTGCATCTTCACAAACCTGACCCTTTCAGCTTGTTTCCATGGAAATGTTCCTTTGGCTATAATATTCCATGGTATGGCATGATGTATTGCAAAAAAGAGACATTTCTCACATTTTCAGCAGTGCAGTAGAACCATGCTTTTCAGACTTAAATCTCTGACTTAATGGTGAGAGACAAAGACAAAAGAGGAGGGACGGATGGAGGCATGGCATTTTTGTGTATTGGTGTATTTTTATTGGTAAATAAACCAAATAATCTCAAACCAACACTTTGGTCCCAAATTTAAACTCAAGAACTCAAATCAAAGCAACTGCATCTGAAAATCTCCTGTGAGTAGGATATCAACGGGGCGTGGCAGACTCTGGAGGGGGCGGAGAAAGGATATGAAGAGTGGCTATTAAACGAGATCCGGCGCCTGGAGCGGCTTGACCATCTGGCAGAGAAGTTTCGGCAAAAAGCAGCCATCCACGAGTGCTGGACTAACGGTAAGACCACAGTAAACACCATTTCACATATGAAGGAAATAGCCTATCCTGGTCAAAAGCAGTTATCAGTCAGTAAGTGCTGGGAAGGGAGAATAGGATGAGATTAATGCACAAAGAATCTAGCCCAAAAGTTACTTTAAAATCATACTACATACTCTAGTGCCTGGATGTAGAGGTTATCAATATCAGTGTATCAATATCTGGGTTTCCTTCATCATTAGCCTGTGGTTTTGTACACGGGATGCTTTTTTGTTGTTTGTTCTATGGAAAATCCATGTATGTGATGGTTTATGACTAAATTTCAATAAAAAAAAAACATCTTATTTAACACCCCTAGTAAATGTGTGTAGGTAAGGAGGCCATGCTAACACAGAAAGAGTATGAGACTGCCAACCTGTCTGAGGTGAAAGCCCTCCTACGAAAGCATAAGGCCTTCGAGAGTGAGCTCACAGCACATCAAGACAGAGTGGAGCAGATTGCTGCCATCGCACAGGAGCTCAAGTAGGTGGTGGGCGAGGGCTGGGGCCAGGGCTTGTGCATTGGCATACGAAGTAATGCACATTTCTGCAGTGATCTGGATTACTATGACTCTCCGAGTGTGAACACGCGCTGCCAGAGTATCTGTGAGCAGTGGGATGTGCTGGGGGCTCTTACCGGGAGCCGCAGGGAAGCCCTGGAGGTTAGTGTCACACTTACTCCTTTCAAAAACGCATAGATGCACATGAATTAATTCTGGCCGGTGTTTACATAGCGCCGAGCATGTTTGTGAGTGCGGGTGCAGGTTTTCTTTCTGGAGCAGATCTTTCCAATCTCCTCAGTTGTTATCGTTAAGGATTTTAAGAAAGGAAATCTGCACCAGGAACTAGCAAAGTACACAGTAACTGGAGGCTACTTGTACTGTCATAATCCACCTGATTCAGGCAGAGGCTGAAGTTCTCCAAACCTGTAATGAGAATGTCTTAGAAGTGGACCAGTAAGGCTGTGGAGAAGCTATACACATGTTTGGACTGGAATGTGTTCAGGGCTGCTACAGATACCGAGACACTGATATCTTACATTCAGTTCTGTGAGTATCATGGCAAGAAGAACCAGGGCAGAAAGCCCCTGGCCTGGATGGTGTCTTGTCCTCCACCCTGAAATATTGCCAGGATGAGCTGACATTTTTCACACCTCACCTTGGGCAGGAAGATATGGTCCTTTTGGATCAGAACCCTTTATCTTTCCTTCTGCCACTGGACTCATGATCACTTTAAACAACTACTGTCAGCAATACTTCATCTATTTAAGTATGGATACAGCCGTGGTGATTTCACACAGAGCACCCTTCCTTATCTGACAAGTCCAGAATGATATCATTCTGTATTTTCTATACTGTACTACTGTACTATGCTTTGTATTTCTGTGAATAGAATACTGAAAAGCAGCTGGAGACAATAGATGAGATGTATTTGGAATATGCCAAGAGGGCTGCACCCTTCAACAACTGGATGGAGGGAGCCATGGAAGACCTTCAGGACATGTTCATTGTTCACACCATCGAAGAGATTGAGGTGAGCCATGTTGTACAATGTAAAATTACATTGTTTTAGGGAAAACCATTTGGAACTAATGTTTGCACCATCTTATGACAATGGATATAGTTAATTATACCCATACCCTCTTTCTGCAGGGCTTGATTGCAGCCCATGAGCAGTTCAAGTCTACTCTCCCGGACGCCGACACAGAAAGAAAGGCTATCCAAAGCATCCAGGAGCAGGTCAAAAACATCGGCCAAAACAACAACATCAAGTTCAGTGTAACCAACCCCTACACCACCATCACACCAGAAAGCATCGACCGCAAATGGGAACAGGTTTGTCTCAGTTAAAGTATAGTCAGTGTCAAGTATAGTGTCATTACATTTTTACTTGATAGAGTTTGAAGTACAATTGACAATGTTTTAATGTTTGAAATATTAATTTAAGACATGACCCAATGGAGGAGAGTAACTCTGTTGTTTGCAGACACTGCAGCTTGTTCCACAGAGGGATGCTGCTCTGCAGGAGGAGCTGTCTAAGCAACAATCCAACAATGCACTGCGCTGCCAGTTTGCCTCTCAGGCCAATGTTGTAGGCCCTTGGATCAAACAAAAGATGGAGGTAACTCACAGCAGTCGATCACAGATTCGGGAGTTTATGCTGGAGAGCATGCCAGGTTTATGAACCTGTGGTTCCGTCTTAGTCTCTAGGCCAGTTATCTGTTTTTTCATGTAAATGTAGCCAACCCATATGCCAATAATTGCAGGAGATTGGCAGGATATCTATTGAGATGAATGGCACTCTGGAGGACCAGCTCACAAACGTACGGGATTACAAGGAGAGCATCACAGAGTACAAGCCCAACATGGACCAGCTGGAGGGAGTCTACAAACTCATACAGGAGGCCCTGATATTTGATAACATGTACACCCAATACACCATGGAGGTATGACCAGGTTCATTAACTCCAATAAAGCATTATGTCATACTATATATTTAACTCAGAGTTTGGTGATTATTGCTGTTATATTACTCCCTGTAATTGAGTAAATGCTCTGCAGCATCTGCGAGTGAGCTGGGAGCAGCTTTCGACTACCATCGCCCGTACGATCAGTGAAATCGAGAACCAGATTCTGACGCGTGATGCCAAAGGGATCAGCCAGGAACAGTTGCATGAATACCGTGCCTCCTTCAACCACTTTGACAAGGTCAGGGCCCCCATTATACCTGTGTCAGTGTGACATGGCACCTAATGTATGCATGTGAGAGAGAGGATATGATTGGACACGAGTAGGCTTTATGTGGTTGGACTAAGCAACTGTCTGTTTACATTTCAGCAGCTTTCACGTATCATCCATCAACTGTATTATAAAGTACTATGTGCAAGCACTGTGTGTGTGTAAGTTAGTACTTACCAAGATACACAGATGGATTTGAGTTGATCCACATACACATGCATTATTGTAAATATTTTTCAACATCAAAGCTATGGGGTTCTGTAGAAAAAGTCTTATAGCAAACTTGACTTTTGTGGGCATTTCACCATGCTAAAATGCTTTTTCCATATGTATGCAAAAGCATATTTGAGTCATTCATGCATTTTAAGTAATACTTTTATTATCCTGTATTCAAGGCTTCAAAACTCAGACATCATCCAATCATCCATCATCCACCTCCCTATTTGAGCTGTGATATATGTTTATAATGAAAAAAGAAAAAAAGGGCTCATTACTGCATCTCACTCTCACCAGCCCCCTTTGCTCACATGACATTGTCTAAACATCTTGAATGTTTCATCCATGTGTGTGTCTCTGCATGTCCCATCCCTTACACCACGTGATGCACCAACCTCATCTTCACGGGTGCTCTCTCATTGGCTATTGGCCCACATCAGGACCACAGTGGAGCACTGATGGCTGAGGAGTTCAAGGCCTGCCTGATCAGTCTGGGCTATGATGTGGAGAACGACAAGCAGGTAGGAGCCATTAGCAGGGAAGCACAGAGTAGCGAGACACTGGGCTTACTCTAAGCATGGACTGCAGCTCTGGTTCTGCTGTTGTGTGTGTATGTTTGTGGGCTTCTCCTGCCTGCTGGCTCTGTCAGCTCGTATTTGCTAACTGTTTCTGCTTTATCTCCCCAACCCCTTTCACTCGTCTGTCTGACCCCCTCCCATCTGACATCCACTGGCCTTTGCTGTGGTGACCAACAGAAGCGTTCAGGACAGATGGTCTCAGATGATTTCCGGGCTCTGCTCATTTCCACTGGAAACAGCTTGGTACTGCAGCTGGCTTTATGCATGCATGCATGGTGTCTGCAGGCCAAGGGCACATTACATTTGTAGGTTTAATCTGACTAACAATCTTTCCAATTTCTGGTGCCCATATTGTCCCTAATAAATGAGTAACTATTTTCTAGTTTACAAGCACCTATGCACCTCTGGTTTCTCAACCATATGACAGATTTAAAATCTCAGGGACTTACCTAGTTAGTAAGTTATCATACACATTACACATACACATTTATTATACATATTTTTTCATTAAAAACATTCTGTATATATATTGGCGGTATAATTATTTTCAAAAGTACAGTTATAGCATTAATGACACACAATCTTGCTCTTCAGTTTTGAGTTGAAAGACAGTGTTGTGACCAGAGCCTGCAGACACCTCTTTCTTATATCTGTGTTTTCTGCTTCATGCTGTGCTGTTTGCTTTTATACAGGAATGGGCCTGGGTACCATCAAACTGAATTTTTCTTTCAAGAAACTTAATGAAAGCAATGCATATATCTCCTTTTAATAGAAAAAGTAAAAAGGCAGGCAAAACGAATAATTATCTTGGATATAACATGGCTTCAATGCCAATGGCGCAAAGATAATTTTAATACTAAAGGAAGATTTTGAATGGTATCCATCGACCCCTGGATTTGTCTCTTAACACAGGTCCTCTGGACACAAGTCCAGCATGATATCTCCCTTTATTACACATATAGTCTGTTCAGCACTCCCATTGTGTCTGGAGCCACTCCAAAAACGGATGTGGCTTTTTCAGGTCATCAGGCTTTTTTTAAATGATGTGATATGTGAAACAAAGGAGCTCATTGTCACCTATAATTTTGAAAAAAATTAAAATATCTCAGATGAACACAGTTAAGTCTTCTGTTATATTTTTTCCTTTCTTTTTTCCTCATTAGAAGCTTAATTTCTTCTGATATGGAAAGACCATAGACCTCCCTCATTGGCTAATTTACCTGTTAATCATGCCAATCTTAATTTGAGAAGATGCACGGGTGAGCACACTCACTCAGTATTGGAGAAGTGTGTATTCTAGATCTCAGGCCAATTTATTGGAGTAATTTGTTTTATTTGACCGAATTTACCAAAAATCTTTCGATCCCCAACTCAGTGCCTCACAACAAACTCAAGGTTACCAAAGTGCTTTGTAACCACTATTAATTTTAATAATGATAATAATAATCATAATGATAATCATGCGTAGTAATAAGAATTAGGCCTGTAACGATAATCAATAAATCAGTTAATCGTACGATAACTTTTAACGAGCTCGATAACTTTTCCAGCCACGATAAATTCTATATGCATGCTTGTTTGTTTTCCTCGCTCTCAAAGAGACTGAATGTTAGAAGGATTCTATCGCTCTCTGACTCGTCTCGTTTAACAAGCGTAATAACGCTTGAACCAACGTGCGCTGTGTTTATCAGCACAGCGGATCTGCGAGTGCAGAAAGTGCAGCTGTCTGTGCGGTGCACTAGCAACACAAGCTAACGCCGCTGTCAGAGTGACAAAACTGTTCATCTCCGTGTGCCAAAACAAGTCACAATGCCGAATCAACACTGGTGAGCGTGACACGTCTCAACAGCCACATGTGTCAAATGCAGCGAGAGCGCAAATGAGGAGAAGAAATGTCTCAAACCCCAGCAGCCGATATAAACCCAAACCCGAGCGACTGAACTATCCTAGCCCCCGGGAGAACCTGAAATCCCACAAACCAACACGATACAGACAGGACAGCGGCTCCCTTATAGGGAAATAGGATCCTGTGTCGCGGGTTAATACGAACATTTAAGACCAAAATGACGAGTCTCACAGCAGCAGCCACAGAGAGACGAAACACAATATAAAAATGTAAGTCAGGGAATAAATTACTTTTAAGGGCAGTTTTGTAACAGAGACTTGGTGCAGCATCCCGGTTGAAATGATGGTCTCATAGACTGATGGTTCACAACTTTTATTTTTGGGCCTTGTTTGTGAACACACCGTAAGAGCTACAAAAAAGGGAAATAAAAAACAATTAGCTCTTACAGTGTACCTTTTACTCCATTTAACCATTTATGACAATCTGACTATTACTGTTTACCAACAACAAATCTTATAAAACCTGAACCTTGCTATTAATCTATATTGAACAAAAAAATACACATTCAAATTGTCAAAGTGCGCATAACATTGCTTAGGCGAAGCGCACTGGCGCCATCTAGTGGATTAAATTATAACACAGAATTGTAACGGCTCAACGTATTCCTTACTAACCTTGTTCCCACATCAACCAGGTGCTAAGCTGGGATAGACCATATATTAACTTAAAATACAGTTTCAGTAACTCTTAGATTAACTAAACAAAATTTTCCGTTGTGCTCATAGTCAGTTAGCCGCACAGACTGTTAGCCGGGAGGTAAAAATCCGCTCTCACGTGGCCGCTTCCGGTTGTACAGCGGCCTTTCAAAATAAAAGCATGGAACAAACGTATTAGAATACTTATAAACAAAAGTAGCAGAAGTACAGAAAATACATGAGATCATTTACACTCCCACCAAATCATTAGAGCTAAAGACAACCAAAGGGGTGTGGAGCGAAAATGATTTCCTAATGTAGTAATGACCTTAGTCCATATGTAAAATAATAAACTTCAACTTAAAAAATGGTTATTCAGTCTCTAGGAGCAGAACAAGCTTCTGTACTGGGCAATCCAAAATCAACTGTTTTCCAGAAGATCTGTCCTGTCCCTTTTCAATCTTCCTTTCTCCATAACGAATCTTAACTTTTCGTACAAGTCCATCTTTGTCCATTACTGTGTCCATTACTCGTGCTAATCTCCATTCGTTGCGGGGTAGATCGTCTGCCTTCTCCATGACAATATCTCCAACTTTCAAGTTTCTCCTTGGAGTGTGCCATTTCTGCCTTGTTGCAATATTAGCAAGATATTCTTTTTTCCAACATGACCAAAACTGTTCTGTTAAGTACTGCACCTGCCTCCACCTTTTACGTGCATAAATGTCCTCTCTGATGAATTTACCTGGAGGGGGCAGTGCAACCTTGGACTTCATTGTGAGCAGATGATTTGGGGTCAATGGCTCTGGGCTGTTGGGGTCGCTTAGATTATCCACTGTAAGAGGTCTACTGTTTACAATAGCCATTGCCTCGTAGAAGAATGTCCTCAGAGATGCATCATCCATTCTGCCTGATGAAACTGATCCTGTTGAGCGAAGAACATTTCGAATTGTCCTTATTTGTCTTTCCCACACGCCTCCTGTATGACTTGAATGGGGAGTGTGCATAATGAAATCACACTGTTTCTCAGCTAATAATGTGGCAAGTCGGTCAGAGTCTACTTCTTTAAAGCATTCCTGCAGCTAATTTGTAGCTCCAATAAAGTTGCTTCCTTGATCACACCTTCTTTCTCTTACTGCCCCTCTTATAGCTATGAAGCAGCGAAGTCCATTGATAAAGGCGTCTGTGGTCATGTCGTCTAACATTTCTATGTGGACCGCTCTACAGCAAAGGCATGTGAAAAGAAGCCCATAACGCTTATGCATTTTGCAGCCTTGTTTCGTCAGGAAGTGTCCAAATCAGTCCATTCCACAATATGTTAATGGTGGTGTTGGGTTCAGTCGCTGTGCTGGGAGATCAGCCATTCTCTGCTCCTCTGTGCCTCTCCTTAATTTACGACATGTTACACATTGGTGCAAAAATGATGCCACTGCTTTGTTAATGCCTGGAATCCAAAATCCATTTGACCTGATCTCATTAATAGTTTGTCCCTTTCCCTGATGTTGCACTTTACTGTGGAAATGAGCTATTAACAATTTGGTGATATGGTGGTTATTTGGAACTATAATTGGGTGCTTCAGTGTAGTTGAGAAAGATGCATTATTCATTCTTCCTCCCACCTTAAGGAGTCCATCGCTGTCAAGAAATGCATCAATCTGATACAGTTTACTTTTGTGAGGAAGTGCCTTTCCATTTCTGAGCATCTTTATCTCTTCTGTGTAAACATTAGCTTGTAGGTCCATTAGAATAGCTCTTTGTGCTCTCTCTCTTTCTTGTACTGTACTGTGGTGTGTAGTTTTGTCTTTCTTTGCCAAGCGAATGAGTCGAGCTATGGCTTGAGTGGTGTTGTACCATGAAGAAAACTTAATCAACTTGTCTGATAAGCTTGAGTGTTCTGTTTGGAGTGTGTTCAGTGCTTGTACCCTTTTGAGCTCTGGATCTCCAAGAGGAATGTCTGTTTGAACAGCCATAGCAGGAGGTATTTCTTTTTGCCATAGAAACTGCGGCCCTTTAAACCAGTCTAATGTGATGAGCTCGCTTGCACTTGAACCTCTGGAGGTGATATCGGCTGGGTTTTGATCTGAAGGGACGTATCTCCACTGCTGGGGGGAGCTGTTGAGCCTTATCCGTTGAACTCTGTTAGACACAAAGGTATGAAAACGACGTGCTTTGTTATTGATGTAGCCTAAAATTACTTTAGAGTCTGTCCAGAAATACTCATTGACTGTTGACAATCCAAGCTCCTCCTTTAACATGTTACTTACAGTTATGGAAACAACAGCAGCGGTTAGTTCTAGTCTTGGTATTGTGCTGACCTTAATGGGTGCAACTCTGGTCTTTGCTGTTACAAAAGCACAATGTACATCACCATCTTTGTTCAACTGTCTCAAATAGGAACACTGACC